TATATATGCTGAGTTGCAGATTTCATATTATATAGTTGCTAAGTCTTGAGACTTCATTTATTATTTCAGTAATTTCTGTATGAATGTTAGGCTTACCTAGTCTTAGAGACTAAGTGCCATCATGACATCCTATGGAGAAAAATTATGTCTGTGATAGAAGAAGAGAGGGGGAGGAGAGGAGAGAAAAAAAGAGGTGTAATTGAATTCCTTAATTGAAGGGGTTAATCATGGTTTGAGAGCCTTTTAAAGGGGAATGTATACAATTTGTGAAAAAAACTCAATTAGTTATGGCAAATAACAAACTTTAGTTAAAGCGAGTAAAAAAAAAGTGTAACTAAATTGCTTAATTAAAGGGGTTAATCATGATTTGTGAGCCTTTTTACTGTTGTTTTCTGTTTCTTTGTGCTTAGAGTTTCTTCTTCTTCTTCTTCTTAGTTACAAAATGAGTTTGTTAAATTTGTGGTTGTTTTGACAATTTGATAATTGAGATTTATTGTGTATGATATTTGAAAGTTATGCTTTCAATTTGAGCTCATTTGGAGTAGATTTGGACATTGAATCGTGTATTGAATTGTTGACATTTGAATAACATGTTTCAAAACTTAAGATTCAAAATATGAAGTTGCATTCAATAGATTGAACTACTTAAGATTTGAATTTCTGAAGTTGCATTTGAAAGATAGATGAGCTTCAGATTTGATTTCTGAAGTTGCATCGAAGATATTGAACTCAGATTCGAATTTCTGAAGTTATATTTGAAAGATAGATTATTTCATATTTGATTTCTGAAGTTGCATTAAAGAGATTGAAATACTTCGATCCGAGCGGGTACAGCTTGCAATAGTGGCCCCAAAAGTGGGTATATATATGATAATGTCCCTTTGTAAACGTCCAAAGACCCTAAGCTATATTTACATTCGGTGGCTACTTTTGTGACCTTGTATTTAGAAGTTGGCCATTTTTTTAAGTTAAAGATCCATGATTTGAAAATCAGATTTTAAATTTTGAACTATGGAACATGTGATCTCGTTCAAATTTTAGACAATTGGTCTAATTTTGTAAAAGTGGTCTACATCTATATACAAGGCGATAAAAGTGATTACTGATATGAGTCATCTGGTACGTCAGCAATACATAACAGGCCTTAGACTAACAATTAAAATATATCCATTTGGAGAAAGATACTACTTGCTCTCTTAATAATCTTTATTGAATTCGGAAAATATAATTCGTTAAATTTGAGTAGATTTAGATAAAGATATGAACTATAATTAAATTCCTTTAAATTCCTCCACCAAGTCCTATCAAACTCTCATTCCTCACTACAAGCAAAAAGCTTAAGTAATTATGCAAGAAGAAAGTTGTTCATGATAATGGTTGGCATCAAGAAAAAGAAAACCATTCTCATGATAGCATGGTTTTCTTTTTTCTTTTATTCTTTTAACTCAATTGAGTCAATGAATAATCATGACGATATATATTCTTATTTTATCCCCTCCCTCAAGAAAAACAGACAAATATATATTTATTTTCTTCATCTTATTCTTTTTGTATTATAAACTAAGATCTTCTTATTTTGTCCTCAGGATTTGGAGTTTTTTTAGTGTCTGCGAGGTAATTATCTATTCTAGTTGATTTGTATTGATCCAGGCAAATGTAAATATATCTACAAAATTTTTGTATTTTTCATTCTCTGTTTTGTTGTAATTGTTCTTTTGAAGTGGATATGTTTCACTTAACAAAGTAAATCTCATATTTCAGGTCTGAAAATATATAGCTAGGATAATATAATAAAGGCATCAAGCTCTATCCATATGGATCTGACCCAACGGATGAGAGATTATCCAACGTGATCTTTATAATCTTTTTCTTTCGGGATGATCCAAAAGAGGGAACTAAGAGCTGAGGCGGATAAATAGAGGTCAAATTAATCACATAGTTTGATTTCTAAAGACGTTTTGACCGATGATATTCACTTGAACCTCCGATGTTCTCTTATTAATTACATGTATTTAAAAAGAAAGACTAACAGATGCATTAGCAAAATGTACCTCTCTTCTATACAAGATTGCTATGAGAATCCTAGTAGTCCATGGAAGAAGCATATTTAGTAGTCCTGTCATAGGTACCCTTGAGCACCTTTATTAAACAATATGATGTTTAAAATTTTTTACGTGTCATTATAAATTAGAAGAAATATTTTTCTACCTTGTAATGTCGTGATGAAAATACAATTATTATAAATATACATGTCACTAGATGATATGACAATTCTTTGTTGGAAAAATAAATGTTGTTATCATATAAGGAGTTTCTTATGGCGATATTCTAAAAGCTCACATTTAAACAATTGCTTCCTAGAAGCACCTCTTTTATGCGGTGTCAAGCGCTTATTATAATTAGACGCTTCTATGTGGGTTGAGCACTTAAGGTCGCACTTGGACGAAGAATATTGCGAAAATATTCTCTTATTTTAATGACCAGCTAAGTGAAATGACAACCGACTAATTAAGCTATTCAGTTTTATTTTAAGTAAATTTCAGTTATTTTCTAAATCTTTAAGGGTTGGAAAATAATAACCTTCTTAAACAACATTTTCCGGTGAGGTAACAAGAATAAAACATTCTTGTCGTCTGTCCTAAAGGTTCTTCAATCAACAATGCATAAACCACGTGTTTATAGTTGCGGAAAAGATGTCTATGGACGACAAGTTAACATCGTCCAAGCATTCCAAGTTCATATGCCAACCAGCCACACATCAAAATGACTTAATATGCTTATATTTGCCCTTACATGAAGTAATCAATTTGGCAATGAAATACCCATAAAATCACTATAATCTTCAAATTTATGTATGTAAAAAAACAAGTCAAACATGTGCATACCAAAGTTTGAAGTAGGATAAGCACTTTAGTGTAATGGGATGAAGAAAATTAACATTTACATGGTTCAAACACCTCCTCTTATATAGATATGAGTTAGATGAAGTTTGCAAGTAGAAATGGGGAACTTTTCACGTCAGGAACTAAACACCTAGACTAAAAAAATTACAACGGTTTTAAAAACTAGTACATAATTGTCGCGCCCCATTTTCTCGCGAAAGCGGGTTTCGACATGCGATAACTTTTTTAAATGAGTATTAAAAGAGAAGAGTTGCCACCTAATGATTTAAGGTGCGTTAGGGCACCTTTTCCCCAAATAACTCCAATTAAACGAATCTATGTCACCAAAGAGCGGTTAAGGATTTAAATTAATTATTATCTCATGTTACTCGATTACTATCTTTAAGTTATTTACCTAAAGCACACTAATACATTGTAACTCGTGTCCTATGGGTGTCACCACCAGTCCCATACTAAAAGTCCTAAGATTGCTCAAAATTAAAACAAAGGCGTCAAATAAGAGGAGCACATAGGACTTAAATAGATAGCACATAATCACGCAGGGCTTAAATAGCCTCCAAAATAGACACTTCGTGCAAGCAGGTAAATTAACTAGCGGCAGTCTAAAAAATGTTGATGTAGATTAAGTTAAAGAACCAGTTTGAATATGTGAAAGCATCATCTAGAGAGTTATTAAGTTATCAAGTTATTTCAAGTTGTAAGTTTAAATAAACCTATAAGCATAATATCTAGATGATTAGAATAGAGGTTAACAAGCATTTAATGATTAACAGAACTTAAATATTCGAATTAATGATGTGATTCCTAAGACATGATTTCTAATTGAGCACCCGACAGTACGTCAAGGATCAGACTAAAGCAGTCCATGATGTGCAAAATCATATGCGTGAACGGGCGTGTGACTAAACGAAGAAACATGATGTAAACTTAGGCTGAATAGGTTGCGCATATTGTTAGTGGGGCATGGGATCCTATAGGCGGGATATCTAAACGCGCGCATACATATTAAAACCTAAAGACATGTTATCTACCCTCAATGTATAAATAGTCCTATAGGCCTGCTTTCGAAACAAAATAAAGTCCCAACCCCAAATGTTCGCTGTGGTCCCCATAGCTGTCTGTTTACGAATAAATTATTACATACCCAATCAAGGAGATGAGCAAAAAATAAATCAGAATATTACAGGCTCAAATAATTAAATGAACAAGCCTAAAGGCGAACCAGGTGTATTCTGGGCCTTCATGAACCTTTCAAATGCGCCAAAAGCCCAGTAGTCAGATGTGCATGTTCAAGCAACATAAGGCGACCAACCAAACCAGCCCCAAACTAGATTTTAACCCCCTCAAGATTCATGTTGACGTTCTTATTCAGTTCATCAACATATGAAGGTAATATGTAAGACTGGAGACAAGCATTGGCTTCTACGAACATGATTTCTAGATGCAATATCAAATGTCAATGTCATAGAACAAATATTTGTAAATAACAAACTGACACCAGGGGATTCCATGATTTCTAATATATATATATATATATATATATATATATATATATATGGATACATGGAGGCCTTGTTACTAAATATAAGAACAAGATTTCATACAGGTATGCTCCCGTCTAGTTTATTCAGGAAGTGCAGGTTTAACACGGGAGGAGGGGGGGATTGATATGACACTAACATATACTGCTGCCCTACTAAAGGGATCATGCAAGTATCAGATATGCTCAACCGGTTACACAGAAAAAACCTAAGTACTAAAACCAGAAGCACTTCATTAATCCTAAAGGTGATGTCTCTAACTTTGGTGTTGTACTTCTTGAGTTGGTAACCGGTGAGAGGCCTACTTACGTGTCCAAAGCTCCTGAGAGTTTTAAGGGAAATTTGGTGGAGTGGATCACACATCTCTCGGGTGAATCTATGCTTCAAGATGCAATTGACCGTTCATTGCGTGCAAAAGGTGTCACGATCCCAAAATCTCACCTTTAGGATCGTGTTGTCACCTAATCTCTAAAATTAGGTAAGCCTAATACATGTTAAAAATTTTAACAGAAATAAATAACTTAGCTATTAACTTAAACTAATAAATGACATAATAAAAGCTGAAACTGATCATAGTCATACATCCCCAAAATCGATTCTCTACTGAATACACTAGAAATTTCTAAATACAACATTGTTCTAGAATGAAAATAAACAATAGTAAAGATAACATCAGAAGGTGATTTTGAGGTCTGCGAACGGGATGACAGGTATACCTTGAAGTCTCCTCAGCAGCTCAAAAGCAACTAGCTAGTGTCCGGCACGCTCTGAGATACCTAGATCTGCACAAAAATATGCAGAAGTGTGTATGAGTACACCACAACGGTACCCAGTAAGTATCAAGACTAACCTTGGTGGAGTAGTGACGAGGTATAAGTCAAGATACTCACTAGACATGACAACTTGTGCAGAATATTAATATAAAACTAACAACGGGAAGTAAAAGCAATAAATGACAAGAAGAGTAAACATGTGATGAACAACAAAATAATCAAACACAGTTAAAAGACAAGTGAAACAAATTAAGGAAAATAACAGCAGTTCAAATCATCAAGCCGTTCCAACACAAGATTTACAATAAGAATCACATCGAGGTACCACACCTCATAATCGCAATTCACAAGTCATAAATCACAAATCTTCCTTATGACACCGCGTGAGCCTTATATTTATTTTAAAAATATTTTTTTCGAAATAGCTTCATGCGCTTTAGCCCCCTTATCTCGTCGCGTATACTTTTAAAATGAAGTAATTCTCCTTACTAGCAACACGCACATAAATTCCCCTTATCTCGCCACATGCATATCAATATCACCACCCTTATGTCGCCGTATGCACATCTCATCACAACACAATAATCAACTCGCACCACACGTGCCGATTGCCAAAATAACAATATCAATATAATATATAGCCCATGGCTCAACAATAATGTGTACAAGAATTTCAACAACAATAAATAAAATGGAAAATAACTCAACAGTGAAAGATATTCCATATAACAACAACTTTAGTTAAAAGCATATTAATAGCCTAAATATCTAAACCGATCATAATTCAAATAATGTACACATCCTTCACATAATTCAAATAATGCAATTAGACCAAATTATACGGATTAGTTCCCCCACATAAAGTTAGAGAAGATACTTACCTCAAACAAGCTAAATCAATCCACTAGTAAGCCTTTCCCGTACAAATCCACATCAGGACAGTTCGAATCTAGCCAAAATAACTTAATATCATAAATAAAAACCATAAGAAACGATTCTGAGTAATAAAGATTTGATCTTTAACTAAAATAAAAAAGTCAACTCAAAAAGTCAACCCCAGACCCACACCTCAGAACCTGACAAAACTCACAAATTCTGAACACTCATTTCGATATGAGTCAAACCATACCAAAATTATCCAATTCCGACCTCAAATCGGCATTCAAATCATCAATTTATCTTTTAGAAAAGTTTTTACTAAAATCTCCAATTTCTCCAATTCAAATCATTAATCAAACACTAAAATCGAGGTTGGAATCATGAAATATAAACAAATTCGAGTCCAAAATATTTATCCAAATCGTAAAATTTTCCTCCAAAATTGCCCAAAACCGATCTCTCTAACTCAAAATATGATAAAATAACAAAAAACTCTCGAAATAGAGTATTAAATAGGTCTGCCCAAGTATACACATCGCGATCACGGAAATACCTCCGTGATCACGAAGAACAAATTCACCTAGCTGCTACTCTCTTCTTCGCGAACGTGACATCCCATTCGCGAACGCGATGATCAACCCAACATATGCCTACGCGAACGCGCTCCACCTACCACGAACACGAAGGCTAAAACGCCTGATGCCCAGCCGGTCTCCCCTTCAACGCAAAGGCATAGCTCATCTCGCTATCGCGAATCACTGCCTCCTCAAATCCTTACGAACGTGTTCCTATTCTTGCCAACGCGAAGTACAAACCTGCCAGACGCCATAAAGGCCTCCGCGAACGTGACTCCTTAGTCGCGATCGCGATGAAAGAAGCACCAGACATTAGAAACAATAGTCCAAATTAGGGGTGTTTATCAGGCGGATAATTATGCTTAACGGTTCGGCTTATCGGTTATCGGATTATAAATGTAGTAATCTGCTAGCCATCCAATAAGACAACGAGCGAAGTTGTATCACATTAACAATTATCGGCTAAACCAAAAAAGAAATTTTTGAACAATCCTAGTCTTGTGAATAACAAACGGCCAAACTGCATAGTTCACTGGCTTTTATCATTTCAACTTACCATTCATAATCCTCAGTACATTACTCGGTGAAGACTTGTCATGGAGTACATAGAACAATCTCTGGAACAAATTTTTTGAATACTCTTAATAAGAATATGGGTAGAATCTGAAACTCTTGAACACCATGAGAAAGATGTGGGGCTCACCCGTGAAGGCTAAATAGTACTTAATATACATAAGGGTAAAAGTGTAAATATAAAAATTCTTAACGGTTTAACGGTTTATCCGATAAGAAAATTGAGTAATCTGCCCTCAAACCGTTAAGCTGTTAATTATAAAATCTCAATCCGTTCACCATCCATTACCCTAATAAGCCGATACCAATAAGCCAATAAACCATCGGTTCGGTCCGGTTAACGGTTACTGTTCGATTTTGAACAGCCCTAGTCCAAATATGATGAAATGACCCGTAGCCCATCCGAAATACACCCGAGGCCACCGGAACCCCGTCCAAACACACCAACCAATCCCAAAACATAACACGAACCTACTTGAGGTCTCAAATCACAATAAATAACATAAAAAATACGAATCACACATCAATTCAAGCCTAATGAACTAATCTAAGTTTTCAATTTCAAAACTTACGCCGAACAAACCTAAACAACTCCGAATGACCTCAAATTTTGTATGCAAGCCCCAAATAAAATAAATTACCTATACCAACTCCCGAAACCACAATCTGAATCTGATATCAACAAAGTCAACCCTCGGTCAAACTATCAACCTTCCAAACCATCAATTTTCCAACTTTCGCTAATTCAAGCCAAAACAACCTGAAACCTCCAAATTCAAATCCGGACATACGTCTAAGTCCAAAATTACCATAAGAAGCTATCGAAACCATCAAAATACTATTTTGGAGTGTCTACACAAAAGTCAAACTCCGGTCAATTCTTACAACTTAAGCCTTCAACCAAGGGACTAAGTGTCCCAAATTAATCTAAAACTTTTCTGAAACCACACCAATCAACCCCGTAAATCACGTAATCATAAATACACACACGTAAAGCATCAAATAGGGAAAATGGGACTAATATACTCAAAACGACCGAATGAGTCATTACATTCTCCCCCTCTTAAATAAACGTTCGTCCTCGAGTGAGTATAGAGATGCCACGACCCAAAATCCAACTAATCATGATGGCACCTAACCCAATCCGCTAGGTAAGCCAATTGACAATAAACCAATTCCAATAAAATTTAATGAGACAAATAAATAAAAGAAAATATATGAATCTTAGACATTTCCCAAGGATTGATAGTACAAATCACGAGTTTCTAAGATTTAGAGTTTACATAGCTAGTGTAAAGTAAATACATCATATGCTTGAATCATACATAAACAAAGTTTTCATAACTCTAGAGCTGTCACACATCTTTTTTTCCGAGGGGATATGGGAGTTTTTCCAATTAAAGTGACATTATTCGAAATAGGATTATTTATTTAATCTTAGAGTCGCCACTTGAAATATTTGTTATGGTGTCCCAAATCACCGGTTTATTTTAAATCCCAAATCGAGGAAAATTTTGACTCCGTCTTAAAGTTTGCGAAATCAGAAAATCGGGTAAGGAATTCTGTTAACCCGGGAGAAGGTGTTAGGCATTTCCGGATTTCGGGGTTTTAGCACGGCCGCTTTAATCATACTTGGCTTAATTAAATTGCTTAATTACTAGTTTTAGAACCTATGTACATTTACCTTTTTACCGCTTTTAATATATGGCGTTATGAAATTATCTTGAAACGAACCACGTGTGTGTGTGTCCGTCCGTCTTTCATGTCACGCGTACACGTACACAATTAGTAACACTTTATTATTACGATTATTGTGTCCAAAGTTGCGCGAACGCATACCTTAATTTTAATTTTGAATATCGTAATTATGTCACGCGAACGTATACATAATCACGATAATTTGATTATTTAAGAGCGTTTCTAAAAGCATACTAAAGTATTCATGAATTATTTTTCCTACTTTGATATTATTGTAAGGCCAAGAGTTTATGGATATGAGATTGTTTGTGGAAGAGGTGTGACTTAGCTATTATCAACAAGTCGCTAAATATAACTTAGCATGCTGTATTTTGGGATTAACGACAACAGAAGTCCAAAGCCCATCCTTTTGACTAAATGAAACTGCAACCCATTCAACTTAAATCATGATAGGATCCAGATCTGCTCTATTTTCAAATTATAGACCCAATACTAAACTTAAGACGGCCCAATATCATTAAAGCAAAATCCACGGCCCATTAGTTATCTAAATCAGAGTTAGCTCAAAATCCTAATTCTAATGAACTGTTGGGTTTCCCCCAAGTAAATTATCGTTGCAGCAATACCAAAATTATCTCACTAGATATTATCCAAAACATGACAACCAGAAAGAATTCACATATGAACATTTAAAGCATGATTCAATATTTGAAAATAGAAATGGAGAATAAATCTTTCACTCCTACGCAAGAAAACCATGGCATCATATTCATAATCACGTTCATGGAAGAAAAATTCCAAAAAAAGAAAGAAAGAAATAGTACATAGAGAAAAGAATGGACCTTAATTGCTGAAAATTTTCCAACATGTACAGTGCAAAAGAATATCCAAAAACAGCAGTTCTCAAGCGAGCTACGGACCATAAACTCGAACCGGAATCGCAACTCCGAATGACTCAGCTCGATCAGATTTGGATGGTGATTTCGAGTTGATTTTTCGCATTGGTTTGGGGTGATATTTTCGGTGGTTTAAGGTTGTTTCGTTGAGCTTTAAGGCTGGATTTCAGGTGGGTTCTGAAACTTTTAGAGATGGTTTTTACAGGGGGAAGAAGGGTTTTGAGCTGCTGTTATGAGGAAGAGAGGCCGACTAGAGAGAATGGAAAATTTTCAGCTGCTCCTCCTCTGCGTTTTCCCTCCAATTTTCTTTATGTGTTTTTCTCTATTTTTTTGTTTCCCCGATCCCCCCTTTTTCTATCCTCCTTTTTTGTGTGTGTCCTTGTGTGTTTATAAGTAAGAGAGATGAGGGAGAGGGCCACGTGAGAGTTGGTTAAAAATTAGTGAATTGTCAGGCCATCAAAAGTGTGTGCAAGTGAGAAGTTACCAAGAAAAGAGGGAATTTGTTAGGTTGAATCTTTTACAAGTGACCAATTGTGATTGATTCTTTTTTTTTTTTTGTAATATTTTCTTTTCTTGATAATAAATAAGCAAAATAATCTACTCTTACTAAAATAAGTAAATAAAAAGCAAGGTAAAATTAATATACTCAATATTTAATTCTTAAAGCCTCTAACTTAAAGAATTGTACTTGAATTGCTTTACAACGTTGGTGTGGCCTGTAGTATGAATGTACAAACTTGTTAACTAGTGCAGAATGTCACGAGAGCATATCCCACGGGAAGATTGTATAAGTGTGACGTGTAGTCACTTGATTGATTGAGGAATGGAAACCAAGTATGAAGATTGTGGTAATATCGCTAAGTAGGAATTCGTGCCTGGAGGATGCTCGGTTCGTTTGTGGTGGACTGTGGAAGCTTGTCCCGGTTATGATGGTTGTTCTTATGTGTTATGGGAAAAAGGGGTTATTATGGACCCTTGAAAGGTTATTAGCCTGGTACGGTGCGATCAAAATCGGCTTGAGGTCCATGAAAGGATTTAAATATGAATATGGGCTCTATATCAGACCGGATGTGTTCATTTCAGCATAGTGCTCCTTATGGAAGAGTATTCGGACGTATGGTGTCGTTTCGTCGATGGCTATTTCATGTAATACTATATTTGCCGTGTAAGTTGTGAAACGTCTCGTTAATTTCATGTGTGTTATGGTTCCGCGTAACGATGGTGTTATGTGAGCAGAATAGCTCTCTAGATTCAGATCATATATCAAACTTGGGCGTATGTTCGGATCGAGTTTTAGATGCCCCGGGAGCGTTTCAACACCTATTGTGGAAGTTAGCATTTTGTAAGAATTCCATAAATTTGGGTTGAAGTGCATTTCAATGCTATCAATGTCCGTTTGGGATTCCGAGCTTGGGAATAGCTCCGTATGGTGATTCTTGTGTTGGGAGCGCGTCCGGAAGTGGAGTTGGAGGTCCGTAGGTCATTTTGGGGTCATTTGGCAAAAGTTGAAAATTTGGATAATTTTGAGAGGTTTGACCGGGAGTGGACTTTTTGATATCAGGGTCGGATTCCGATTCCGGAAGTTGGAATAGGTCCGTAATGTCAATTATGACTTGTGTGCAAAATTTGAGGTCAATCGGATGTGATTTGATAGGTTTCGACGGCATCGAATGTAAAAGTTGAAATTCTAAAATTCATTAAGCTTGGAATGGGGTGCGATTCATGAATTCGACGTTGTTTGATGTAATTTGAAGGCTCGGCTAAGTTCGTAACGTGTTTTGGGACGTGTTGATATATTTGGTTGAGGTCCCGAGGGCCTCAGGTGGATTCCGGATAGTTAACTGATCGAATTTGGAATTTGAAGAAGAGTTGAGGCAGCTGATATTTGGTGTACCCGCACCTGCGAAGGGCGCATAAGCGACATTAGAGTCACAGGTGCGGAGCAGGCTAGCCAGGTGAAGGACCGCAGGTGCGGAGCTTTTGGCCGCATCTGCGCAAACGCAGAAGCGCAAGCAGGCACATGAGCGGAAGTTTCTCGCACCTGTGAAGCCGTAGATGCGGCTACTTAACCGCATATGCGAAGGATGGGGCTGGGCAAAATGCTGTTAAGTGGGGTTTGAGTTCATTTCACCCATTTTCACACGGCTTGGGCAATTTTTGGAGCTTTTGAAGAGGGGATTTCATCATCAAGCATGAGGTAAGTGATTTCTACTAGTTGTGAGTTACATACAAGGTTTATACATGGATTTAGGCATGCAAATTTTTAAAAAAATTGGGGTTTTTGAAGAAAAACTTAGAAAATTATATTTTTGGACTTTTACCACGAATTTTGGACATGGAATTGAGAATAAATTATATATTTGAGTCCGTGATGTCATGGGAAAAGTTTATCTTCGAAAAATTTCGGAATCCGGACACATGGGCCCGAGGGTGATTTTATCGACTTTTCAAGCGGAGTTGAAAATTATAATAAATTGACTAATTATGAGTATTAGAGTATATTTTGATTGGGTTGTAACTTATTTGACTAGTTTTGGAGCGACGGACATCAGTTTGAGGTGTTAGGGAGGCTTTGGAGCCGGTTATGTAATTTCGGAGCGAGGTAAGTCTCGTTTCTAACCTTGTAAGAGGGAATTTACCCCATATGTGAAATAAATCAATGTGTTCTCCTACTTGTGGGGGCTACGTACGCACGAGGTAACGAGAGTCCGTGTGTAGCTACTATTATGCTTAAGTTCGGGTAGTCTAGGACCCAAAAGCATGCTTTACTTGTAATATTTGCAATCTTGTTGTCAATTTAAAATGCTTGAATCATATCGAACTTTGTTAATAAATATCTCAAAGGCTAGACATCGTTTTCTTGACTTTTAAACGAGAAATTGCCTTTTTCCTTGGACAATTACCCCTTGATGAATTCTTGATTGATTTATTTGAATGTGTTATCTTTTGTGGAACGGGCCGAACGCCTCGGTAGATTAAATAGATGCATCTATGGTTCGCTCCATTCGACCCTCTGGCAGTGCACATTTTAAATACTTTATCGGGCCGTACAGCCTCTGCATGATTTGTGCATGCTTGTATTGCTTGCCCTGAAATTTATGACAATTGATATGGCCTCACTGGCCGGAGATATAAATTGTTAAAAGATGAAAATAAATTTGTAGATTCCTTAATTATAACAGAACTGCTTACTTACTTCAAAATATTGAGCTTGCGACCGTTCATATAATCCATACTTAATTATATCATTGATATCCTATTTATAGCCCATAGTAAGTGTCGAAGTCGACCCCTCGTCACTATTTCTTCGGGGTTAGGCATGATACTTATTGGGTACATGTTGATTTACGTACTCATATTACATTTGCTGCACATTTTGTATAGGTACACATATGTTTAGCGGCCTTGTGGGCGCAGAGGCGCGATTATGGCGGGGACTTAGGTGAGCTGCATTCTATACGACGCACCGCAGCCAGCAGAGTAACCTTCAAAGTATTGTATTTTCTTTTCTGTCCAAATTGTATTCCGGACAGTTATTGTATTTTATTTTAAATTTCTAGAAAAGGCTCATGCACTTGTGACACCGGGTTCTGGGATGATTATGGGTTATACTGTATTGGAATTTTAAAGATATTATTATGTATTTTGTAAACTCCATCTTCTACTATTTAATTGAGGGGAAAAACTATGATTTCAAGAATATTAAAAATGAGAATTTATTAATTATTGGTGTTGGCTTGCCTGACAGTAGTGTCCGGCGCCATCACGACCTTTCAAGGATTTTGGATCGTGACATTCTTTTTCAACCAAAATATAGTATTTTTTTTTATATTTATTGAATAAAAATTTCAACATTATTTTGCGTAAAAAAGTAAAGCAGTACATTAGTTCCTTTGAGTTTGTATAAAATTTTAGAAGAATAATTAAATTGTTGAAGAAAATAGAGTTATGAAAACGTTAGATATTTGAGAAGGGGGAGGGGGAGAAAGGAAATATTGAGACTTGGGAAAAGAGGGTGAGGAGAGTAGTATAAAAAAATATTTTCCTAAAAAAATATTTTCTACCTCTAACCAAACACTAGAAAATATTTTTCTAAAAAAGTTTTCCATTCAACCAAACAAGAGAAAATAAAACCACTCAAAAATATTTTCTAGGAAAGCATTTTCCTCTGTACCAAATGCCCTGATTCTCTATTGTTGGACTCTCATTCCAAAAAAAAAAAAAAAAAAAAAAAAAAA